GAATAGTAGGTACAGAAGGGATAATCAAATAAATATGGCTTTGGATGGATTTTTTCTTTAGCACTTACAAGTCTGCAACTCAGAACTTCATAGTTTCTAGAATTTGATGGTATTTATCTATACTAGATATTTATAATTTTTATCCTACCTCTGTCTCAAAAGCATTTACACAGCAAAGGTGTTGTTTATATCCAAACTTCCTGGGCCAGATCAGACTGATATCTGCTTTGACAAGTTATTTGACTGATACAAGTTTATCACTTGAGTCTAAGTCTAAAACTAGGTTTCATTTCTTTCTCTCCTTTTCTCAAAGAAGTCACCTCACACTATATCAGTCTCATCTTACTCTTTTTCTCATTTATATACACTCTGTTAATATATGCCATCATTATATATACTTTCTTGCATGATGATGGCTTATATTAATGTCATCATCTTATAACTGGGTTTTGTTTCTTTTATGAATATTTTGCTTCTTCAATTAGACTGTGACATTTTCAGGTAAAATTCTCTAAATGGGACATGGGTCTGAACCGACACAACTCATCATGTATTCTGTAGTATGTATCCAATGAAAAGAACATTCACTACTTGTCTTTGTAGTATCTACAACACCTTATGATATGGGAAGACACTGAAAGAGGAATATGAAGAATGAATGTACTGAATAAATGCAATGCTTGCCTAATATAGAATGAGATCTAAACATAGTATAAATGAGGCCCCATTAATGGCTACACATTTAACAGAAGGAAAGGGGTGATGTGCCAAATCTTTTTATATAATAATCAAAGAGAAGTTGAAATTATATTTCACAGTAAAAAAAAGTTTTAAAAAGTGAATTTTAAAAAAGAGAAGACAAAAAAAAGACTCTACTGGCAAATCACAGGCATAAGTGGTTTAGTTCCTTGACTCAGAAGAGTAGGCACTCTGTGAAGGGAAATGTCCCTGTTATACACCTCCATCTAGAAGCTGGCTCCAGGTATTTGAATATCTATAACTGGATAAAATTTCCACACCCCTAAAAACACTCTAAGGCAGCTCTTTATAACTACATAGGGCAGATGAAAGAAATCTCTGTATCTCTGAGACATCTTGCTTAAGACTGTGGGACTTCTATGGTCTTGCTGTACTTACTCAACTGACTGGAGAGAGAGTACTCCCAGAGGACAATGTTTTGAAAGTTCCATGTTTTATGTCAAGTACCCAAAATACAATTTTATTTCTCAATATTTAGCTTATGACAATAATTTAAATAGAAACACTCGGACAAAGCAGACGTTTAATGTTCTGAATTACATGGTTAGAATCTAGAAACATCAACTGAAATGTGATATGTAGTTTGAGAGAGTTCTGAGTATATTAGAGTTTTCTCAAATTAAGACGAATCTGGCATGCCATAGCATTTCTTATCAGATGATCTATACTACTAAACCATTAGGAGCTGGGAGAAATTAAAAAATGCTTTACCATTTACAGAGTTGTAGAATACTGCTCGTGTGCTTTTCACACTGCTGGCACTGCCCACAGAGCCTCCAACATCCCATAATTCTATATAGTAGGTCTTCTCTTCTGGGGTTCCTTCTTTGTAGTCATGAACCTAACAAATCAATCAATTAAAATAATTATTACAGCCATTAAACAAACTGGTAAGCATCCTCACCTCATTCCAGTTTAAAGCACTGGACATTCCATGTCTGCACCTCACTCTCTCTGATCCACCTCCTATCTTTCAAGCTTACTCTCTTTACTACTCCAGCTCCAATAATCTGTGACTCCGGAAGACCTACAGTTAATTGATCCTAACATCTTTCACAGCTCCCTCTTCCACTTTCAAAGCCTCATTTCCTTCCTAAGCATAAATTCCACGATCCATCATTACAGTCACTCCTTTGACACTCACTCACAAATATATTCATCTGACAAAATTCCAACCCTGGTTATATCCACCTTTCCCCCTATTCCATGTCTACAACCCAGCTGGCTGAATATGGAGCTCACAAAAATATACATTCAAGCTGACTGGATTCTTTTTAAGTGTACCTTTGCACCTACCCTTCAATCACTTCCATAGTCCATTTGCCCTTTTCCTCTTCCAGATAATTATTTCATACTTTCTCTTCTTTTTAAACTTCCAATCACTCTTCCTCATCCTCAATCACAGCTAATAACCTTGTTTCCTAGGACAGAAGCAATTAGAAAAGAACTTCTACAAATTGCTCTTTCCATATCTACCCACCCTCTTTCATCTATGCCTATATAATCTGCTTTCCGGCCCACTATTATCTTAGGCTGTTTGTATCCCTCAGGCTAAATCCTCTTGTGCATGAGATTCCCACCTTAAAAAAAAAAAAAACAACAAAACCTTCTCTTGACCTCATGTCTTCTTCCAGCTACCATGCCACTTTTCTCTTCCTTTTCATAGCAAAAGCCCTCCAAAGAGGCTAGCTATTCTCAGCTCTAATTATTTTCTTCACATTCTCTTTTGAACTCATTTCTATCAAACTTTTATCTCAATCACCCCACTGAACTATTCCTTGTCAAGGTTACATGACCTCCACATTGCTAACTCCAATGGTCAATTAACACTTTTCATTTTACTTCATTTGACATAACTAATCACTCCTTGTGCCTTACAATATTTTCTTCACTTAGCTTCCAGGATATCACACTCTACTGGTTTTCTTCCTACCTCACTGGCTAGTCTTTTTCAGTTTCTATTTGGGTTCTTCTTATCTCTCTGACTTCTAATTGTTGGAGTGTCCCAAGGTTTAGTTCTTCAGTCTCTTTTCTTCTCTATCAATATGTGCTCTTGGGAATTTCATCTAATCTTATGATTTTAAATGTCATCATTTTAAATGTCATTCATGTTGATGAATTTCAAACATATCCATCCTGGGAACTTTAGACTACCATAGCCAGCAGACTACAACTTAGATGTGTAACAGGCACCTCAAATTTAACATATCCAAAAATAGTGTTCTAATCTTACTCCCAAACCCATTCTTCTCCCAGTTTTCTGTGTCTTAGTAAAAGGCAATTCTATCCTTCGTTACTTGGGCCAAAAACTTAAGAGTGATCCTTGATTCCTTTCAAACTGCGCATCTGATTTGTCAGCATATCTTATTGCTTTGACCTTAAAAATATATCCAAAATCTGTTCATTTCTCCCCACCCCTGCTACTGCCACCCAGGTCAAAGCCTCTATCTCATTGCCTGAATTAATGTAATGGTCTCCTAACTGGCCTCCCTGCTAGAGGCATCCCTCCATTGCCCTGTTTGTTTTCCAAATAGTAGCTAGGGTGATCCTTTTAAAATGTAAGTGATGTCGTATCACACCCTTCTGCTCAAAACCCTCCAATGACTTTCTCACTCAGAGTAAATTCCAGTGTCTCCTTTTTCTCATGGTCTAGTCTCTATAGGCATTTATTACCAGTTCTATATAACTATTCAGAAACAAATTATGATATATGACAACCAAAGTATAGTGGTTCATGGGTATACATCAGAATCTTCCAAACATTAAAATTTTTTTTAAAAAAAATACATGCCAGTCTTACTGAATCAGGACCTTTGGGATTAAATCCTAGGATGCGTATTTTGAACAATTCTCCAAATGATTCTGCTGTAACTCCCTAGTTAAGAACTGCTGATTTTATAGAATGGAACTATTCTGGTATCTGGAGCTCTAGATTATACTCCTTGATTGCCACTAATCATCGTTAGTATCTTTGAGCCTCAGTTTCTTTGCCTATAAAATGAAGGAGTTGTAGTATGTGATTTCTAAAGTATCTACTGGCTTTTACATAATAAAAAAAAAGCCAAGATAGCTCAGTAGTTAAAACAGATGTCTTAAAATGCACTAAAACTCATATACTATATTCAACAGAATGCTTTACACTTTTACTTATTCATAATTTTTTTGTCCAAATTCTTTTGGCCAAGGAAAAGTTTAAGTAAATATGTATAGACAGCCACATTGATATTAAGAAGATAATTATCAGACTGACAACAAAGACAAAAGGACAGAAACATGAGAACAGTATAGTCATAGCATTTGAGGACCACTTTGGATAGTGGAAATTAATACTGCAATAAAAGGAATCACTATTTTGCTATATAGCATAAATGACTGATAATATATAATCGTGCCAAATCATCAATAAAAAAGTTAAACTACATGAGTTCTATTATATGTAAGAAGGCAGGGAAAGGTAATAACATATTTTTTACAAGATTTCTAAGCAAAACAATGAAAGAAACAATACAAGGTGTTAGAAGGAGTAAGTTATCTGTTATAAAAAACTCACCCACTTCAGTGAAGCCTTCCTGATCCTACCTTCCTCCTGGCCCCAAACCAACCAAGGCAGGTTTGGTACTCCTATTTGCTTCCATAACACCCTGTTACCTCTATCGTACCTCTATCATTTCGCTAAGCACATTGTTTTATGTATCTACCAATTATCTCTTCTATTAGACTCTGAGCTTAAGAGCAGGGACTATGTATTATTCATCTCTGTAGCCCTAGAAAATAGCATGATAGCTAGCATATGTTTTAGATGCTTGGATATGTTTGTTAAACAAATGAATAAATTTTAAGATAGCTCATCCTCTGAGGGTTTATTATTTTTAAATTTATTATTTTACTGAATTTCAGGGCTTCTTAAATGCAATTCAGAGAACAAACTTAATCAAAACCGGTAGGAAGTCTGTCAAAAAAATACAAATTCCTGGACCATCACTGAAGCTTCTGGAAAGGGCTCAAAAGACCCTATTTTTTTAAAAAGCTCCCTACATGATTTTCATACATAATTAAGTTTGGCAACCATTGCAATACACCAGTTTTTTTCCTCTACAATTATTTCAAATGTCTAATGTTGCCTTCCATAAAAGACTATAACTCATTCTGAGAATAGCCACCACCCAATACAAATTCATAAGTAGAATGCCCTCTTAGTCTTGCACTGTACCAAGTCTGTTAGCTAGCACCCTTTAGGCTATGCATACTCCCAAACCAGATTGACCCACTCATCTATACTCTTCACCATCACAAAATACCTTCCCTAATCAAATCTTTTCATGTTTCCTTCTAGAATCAGAAGAGAAGATGCCCTCCTTCCTTTCCAACTTGCTCAATTAATACTGGCTAAGTTTAATTTAAATTCACATGGAATGTGTCCTAAGAACTTTAAACCAGTATCTTATAGTTTATAGCTATGATGTTGTATTTTTCACATGGCTGAGTAATTTCCAAAGGAAAGTTTGACATTATAACAAATATTTCTCTTGACACAATAAGTGCTACTTTTCTGTTATACTAAGAGCCCAACATAATGGAGGGGTAATGCAAAATCATAAGAAATGTTTTTTTTTTTTTTAGAGAGAGACAGAGTCTCCCTCTGTTGCCCCGGCTAGAGTGCAGTGGCATCACTGCTCACTGCAACCTCAAACTCCTGGGCTCAAGCGATCTTCCTGTCTCAGCCTCCCAAGTAGCTGGGACTACAGGCATGAGCTAATTTTTGTATTTTTTTGTAAAGAAGGGGTCTCAAGCAAATCCTCCTGCCTTGGCGTCCCAGAGTGCTAGGATTATAGGCCTAGAAGTGTTTTTATATTTAAAACAGGTCATCGAGGATCTGATACTTAAAGTCATTTCAGACCTTAGAGCTATTCAATGAGGATTTTCTTAACAGGAAGCAAAAGTATACTGATCATCAAATGGGAAAAGGAACCATATTCCTCAATGCCACTGCCACTTTGGACCTTCTCATTTACTGAGTTTTCAACTTCTTACTGGAAACCAAATCAAGACCTACATACACAAGGTTTCGTCTCATTTGAAGAGTTCATTCACTGTAACTTTTAAAAAGCAGAAACAAATTTAGTAAAGAAAATGACACACATCAAGAAAGAATACTGGATGTTGTAGATGCTAATAAGTTTGTTTTAGTATTTGTGCCTGCAGAATTATTACTAAACAGAAAAGGAAGGTAGGTCTTAGGGGAGAGCTGAGAGAAAAGAAAGAAGGGTAAAAAAGAGCAACTAGGAGAATATACCACAGGAACAGAAATTAATTTGTCTCATTCACTGCTATACTTCCAGTTCCTTGCCCTGTGTCTGGTATTGAGTCGGTATGCAACATATGCCTTGCATCAACAAATGAATGAATGAATAAAGATTATTGCTAACTGCCTCATTTCCAACAACTCCTCTTTTGCCTTCAGTCAAGCTCATTTCCTTTATGTTTTTTTAAAAACATTCTCACTTTCCATTTTATTCTATACCCATTCTTCCCTTTATTTAACCTCTAAACTTTATGAAAAATGAATTTTAAACCTCTGTCTATATTTCCTCTCTGCCCAGTCACATCATTTGGTTTCTTTTTCTTTTCTTTTTTCTTTTTTTTTTTTTTGAGACAAGCTGGAGTGCAGTGGTGGCAGAATCATAGCTCACTGTAGCCTTGAACTCCTGGGCTCAAGTGATCCTCTGGCCTCGGCCTCCTGAGAATCTAGGGCTACAGGCATGTGCCACAATGCTCAGCTAATTTTTTAGTTTTAGAAATGGGGTTGGACTATGTTGCCCAGGCTGGTCTCAAACTCCTGGC